TATATATATATATATCCTCCTTTAGAGATGATTTTATTGAAAGTATGTTTAATTATTAAATGTGAATACCTCTCGAGTCTTAACCAATATTTTAACTTTGCAAATTTCGATTAAGTCACCATCTTAATATAACAAGTTACTTGCAGCTCACTTGATCAATATTAAATGAAGAACTTATACATTAAGCTTTTATGGCTACTAAGCTTATGTTAAATTTTCCTAATATCTTATTACTGAACACAAATTAATTAGTATGAATATGTTATATTTTAATTATTGGTATTGGATAATATACAACTTAATCAATGTTTTCGTAAATAGTCTTGAATGGTAAGTTCCACCAATAAAATAATATCTCTTAAAATGAAGAATCTAATGATAAAAATGTAGGACTCACCTCAAATTACAAATTTAACTTTATTTTTATTTATTTTCATAAAATCTAATCTATTATACATATTAAGGATAAAAATATATTTATAAAAAAAAAATTTCTTTCTCTCATATTTCTCACAATCCAAACATCTTGAAAAATCTATCCACTTTTTAACAATTTTTTCTTCAATCATACTTTTTTCTTTTATACTTATCATCTTATCCAAACAAGTCATTCATATTTTTTACATCTCCTCATTATTTGACATGAAAAACGACACACCATGACATGAGTAAAAACCACGTGTCCAACACACGCAACATCAACTTCAGTTATAAGGGTATGCTGTAATGTAATTCACGTATAAAAAAATGTGTAACCAAAAAGCATTGTTTAAACTAGAAAGCTGAAACAAGTAGCAAGAATAGATATGTTAGAACTTAAAAGAAAACAACGTGGGGGTGAGATTCATCAAGTGCTGCTGAATATAACAACTAGTTCCAACTCAAAACAGGGAATGATAATCAATTGCTGCTACAAGTTCAAAGGGACTTGTAGCTATGGAGTTGGAGGGTTCTAGTGCCAACGCACAACCAGAACAAAAGATCTATGGGAATCTCTCTCATACCTTGGCCCACATAGCACTTGTCCATTTACTAATCCTATTCACAATCAATCACACCAGGGTCAGTTACCCTTATGAGTTTAGGACCGTTTGAAAATGTACACAAAATTAAATACTCACATACATACACGACATACTATTATATAATATAGTATGATGGGAATAATAAATAATAATAAAAGGTTCAGCTTTAATACAATTCCCAAGAGTACTTTACCCTCTCCTTAGTGAAGCATACATTAACATAAAGCTTTTTAATATTTTTTTATACATATAGTTTATCCTGTATTATTAAAAATCAACTGAAGCGTTAGTTCAACTAATGAAAATTAATATCTCATAACAGACTTAAAAAAAAAGGCTTGATTATAAATAACACAAAGTTATTACTACTACTTAGTACCCTATATTATTAATTTACTAAGCTTTATTAATACTTATGTACATAATGTTGAACACATAAAGGGAGCTTGAAAAGTGTACCAGACAGGCTCCCACCACCTCACCTCTTGTCCAGAAATCTCCATTCTCCAAAACTGCTTCCACTCTTCTCATTTTCTCTCTCTCTTTCTTTCTTTCTCTTTGCCTCACACTGGAGAACCCTCTTCAATTCCCTCCACACCCCCATCAGATAAATTTCTCTTATACCCTCTGAATATTCATCATCATCAGCATCATTAATCATGGTTCCTCTGATGTGTTTTGTGCTATTTTTGGCCCTGGCTGGCCACTCAAGTAAGCACCTTGATTTGCTTGTGTTTGTTTCAAGTTTCAAGTTTCATGGTTCAACTTGTGGTTAAATGGGCCTTTTAATCATGACATCCCATATCTGAGATGGGTTCTCATGATTAGTTACTGTTTTTGTTTTGGTTGTGACAAAGATTGAATTTTTAGAATGGATTTTGTTTAAGGAATTTTTTCTATTTTTGTTATGTTTTACTCCAAGCTTTGCATGAAGAAAATATGGTTTTTTTTTTTTTTGTGGACTAACTGTTTCTGTTTCATTTTTTATTTTTTTTCATTTTTTTTTCTCCTATAGGTGCTCTTTACTGTGTATGCAAAGATGGTGTGGGTGATCAAGCTTTGCAGAAAGCAATAGATTATGCATGTGGTGCTGGAGCTGATTGTACCCCTATTCTACAGAATGGAGTCTGTTACCAACCTAACACAGTGAAGGATCACTGCAACTATGCTGTTAATAGCTATTTCCAGAAAAAGGGTCAAATTCAGGGAAGTTGTGATTTTTCTGGTGCTGCTACCCCCAGTCAAACTCCACCTAGTAAGTATCCTGCACTTTCTGATCACCTTCAAATTTCTGGACATCCATGTTGAAATTCCCTTTTGCTCATTTTTTTTTTCTCTCTTCTTGTGCTTGTCTCTCTGATCTGCAGCTTCAGCTTCCACATGTGTTTACCCCTCAAGTCCAAGGTATGTTTCTTGATTATGGATCTTGCTGATTTGTTCAGTTCTCTTTAACTCTAGGATTTTTTATTTATTTTTTAACTAATGGTTAGTTGTTGGATTGGATGCTTCAAAATTGCATTAAACCCTTTTTTTTCCATTTACAGAATATGATGGCGACCTTGCCAATTTTTCTTTTTCTATTATTGTAGTTGGCTTTTCATGAAACCCATTGCCTACTTTCTTTGGTGTTCTAAGATGGCTTTGCTTAGATGCAAAAGCAGTCCATGTTGTATTTTTGTATAACATACTTTTAGTTTAGCCAAAAGGCCATTTTTTTGGGTTCATGTATCCACCACCGCCTGAATCAGATTTACAAACAAGCCATGACATCATGATTGCCCTTTTGAAACATTAGCTGTCATCATTATGATGCTTCACAATTATTTTTGTCCTCTTCATTCCCACATACTTAATCCTAGATCTATAACCATAATATTCAACAAAACTGATATAACCACATCATTGGTGGGAAATATCCACTTGTTTTGCTAGTGATTAATTTCTATGAAGAGAATTTATATGGCCATCTTTAATTAGTCATATTTTTTTCAATTCACAAGGCTCAAATTTGAGATCTATCTGAATGACTGAACCTAGTTTTGGTGGATCTATATTAATATACTATTATAGTCTTAGTGAAGATTGTAAGGTGATTTTATTTGGCTTCCTCTTGCAGCAATTCAGGAACAGGAACCACAACAACCCCAACAACCACTACACCATCAGGCACACCATCCACCTTGACTCCAACCACTCCCACTACTGGTATAACTCCAGGCACTGGCACTGGCACTGGCACAGGCACAACCACAGGCACCACCACTGGTAGTCCTAATATGTTTGGAATGAGTCCAACATCTTCAACTGGAACAGGCTTCAATGACTCTAGCAAAGGGGTGGTTCACTTGAGAGACTCTTGCATGTTCCTAATGTCCCTTGTTCTCACCTTCTGGCTAGTGTCAAGGGTCTAAACTAATGGTACAGTTGTTGTGGGAAAAACTTGTGGATGAGATTTTGCCAACATAGAAGCAATGGGTGTTCATGTAATTTCATCACTTGGAAATCATCCAGAAGCAAACCCCACTTTAGCCTCCTGTTTTTGGTTTTGTTCTGTTCCTCCTAAGAAAAAAAAAAGTTAGGGAATTTGGTTCCTTTTCAGTGGTGAATATTTGATGTATGACTAATGGGGTGGAACCTCATAGGTTCCATTTGTATATTATCTATCACTATGAGAGGCCCTATTTTTTTTTTTTTTTTTAACTGAGCCTTGCTACCTTATATTATATGAGATATTTACTTCTTTTTTAATCCATGACCCTTATTATGCTACGCACTTTTCTTTTGTTAAACTATTTTTTCATGCATGTATTGCATTGATTAGCATCATTTTTTTTTATACACATGACATCGTTATCAGCAACCGACATAGCGTAACTTGATATTCCCATGTTTAATTTATTAATCCGTGAGTTCGTTCGTCGTTTTCTCTGTTTTGCCACGATTGAGAGTTGATATAAACAATTCAGAAAAAAGGTGTAGAAAGTGGCGTAAGATTTAAGAATCAGGTCAAATCGGTTAAAATTGAATAAGAATTGGTACAATGAACCATTAGGGTATTTACGGTTTGGCAAATAAATTCTAACAATTTAAAATTGTTTTAAATTTTATAAAATTAGATTTATTTTCTTTTAAAAGATAAATTAATATTTTAGTTTGTGTATTTATATATATAAGTAAAATTTTCTTTTATTTATTTTAAAATGTTAAAATTTAATTTATAAATAAATGAAAAGTGACAATTAGGGTATCTTCTGCTACATGTTGATTTTACTGCTACAAACAGAACCAAATGGTATGAGTGAAAAGTGAAGTTGAACATTTTTCCCTTTCCTTTGTGAGTTATGAATTATGATAATTCATGGTGTGGACCAATTTCTCTTGAATATGATGTGAATGTTCACTAGTGAATGAAAATAATTGGGTTCAACACTTCAACTTCAACGTGCTTGGCCGACATATGGGAAATAAATAATGGTGCATGCTTTTGTAGAGAATCCAAATAGGGGAATTGGAAAAGATTACATTTAAACCACATTTATTTAAGGTAATAATACTAATTGTTGTTAATTATACTTTTATGTTTCACCTAATTTTTAATTAATTTATACATTGACAATTAATATGTATTGTTACTACTGAGTATATATGTAAGAAGGTACACTTGGAAATGTTAAAATTATTAAAAAAAAACAAAAATCTTAATTTATATATAACAACTTTAAATGACTGTTAATAAAAACCAAGATAGTACTTTATATTATTTAATTTAATTATTCTTTTTTATCTTATAATTTTGTATATTTTATATTTTATTCATTATAATTAAAATATATTTTAGTCTCTATATATATTGTTTTAATTTCAGTCCTTATAGTTTTATAAATTTTATTTTATTTTTATTATGATAGGAATAAAAGAAAATAAATCATGTATAGAGATTAAAATAAAATGTTTTTAACTACAAATACATAACTAAATTTATGAAACTATAAAGATAAAAAAAAGTAATTAAATATATATTTAAGAATAAGGTTTTAAAATTGTATAGCTAGAAGCAAGACTTTAGAAAAGAAGGAAACAGAGATTGAAATACTAAATTTATATTAATGTATGTAATTTTGTTTTTAAAAATATCAAATTTGAGATATTCATTATAATTAGAAACTTTGTTCTCATTTTATTTTTCTTCACTTTAAAACTCCACTCTCATACTTGGGAGCTGTTATAGAGAAGGGGGGAAATGGTATTTTTTTTATGTTGATAAATATTCTTTAATTTGATTTTTTACAAATGATATAAATAAATAAATAACATATTCATATAAAATTAATGTGCTACTATTTTATTTTTATATACAATTAACATAAAGTTTCTCTTCTACGCCTTGAAGTACTGCATGATAGTCCTGTTTGAATTCTTTGATGCTGAATTTTGAAGTTGTGATTTTCTTATGTCCAATTAAACATCAACTATATAAAATTATCTGATAAAAAAAATTATATTCATTTATTTTTTATTTATACACATACAATATTTAATTAAACTACGTAAGTACGTAAAAACACACACCTAATGATTATAAGTCATTAAAAAAGTGAATACCTAGAAGAAAAAAAAAAGAAAGAACAATCTTCAAATGTATTATATCTTTCAACTATATTCACTTGCAACAAGACAATCTTAAAACAATTTTAATTTTTCAAAATACCCTTTCATAATTTTTTATATGCTTACTCATAGTCTCATTTATATCAATTTATTATATTATAAAAGATTTTTTTTAATAAAAGCTTATTTAATATTTGATGAATAATTATTAACGATGTTTCTTTATTATATTAACGATTATGTCGTGTATTATAAAAATGATTTCTAGGTATTTTTTAAGAAATGTAATAAACAATATGCTTAGGAAAATATTTAAAACAAATAGTCATTTTAAATAAATTGAATGTAGGGGAAAAGAGTTATTTTTTTTATGGAATAAATGTGATAGAATAGAGAAACCCTTCTAATATTAGTATTTTAAACAGTGCAATACACAAATATATTTATTATATATATATATATATTATATTTGAATATATAATTATATTTAAAAGTTATATAAATATATATTTTAAAAATATAAATTATATTTTAGATTTATGATAAATAATTTATATTATAATACAAAATTATTTTTATTTATTGATAATTTATATTAAAATATTAATATTAAATTTATAAATAATTATGATAAATAAAAAATAAATTGAATAAAAAAATAATAGAATTCTTACAAACTCTCGTTAAAGAAAATTTCTTAAAATACTTTCGTGTAAAATAACAAATTTAATATATAACGATTGATTATAACTTCTTACTAAGAATGAGATTGCTTATCTTTCAACTCATGGAAGCTATTAGTATTACAAAAAGAAAAAGAAAAAAACTATTGTCTACTCCAGGATGCCAAACAAACATGTATAATTATCTGGAGTTCGATACTAGTGCACCAAACACTATTATTTTCATGTCATCCTAGCCAGAGATAATAATTCAATAAGCTAGGGACACAAACCAGACTCAGAAAATTTTATATTGTGTTCTATCACTATCGACAAATAATCATTTTAGCACCGTGGTAAACATAATGATGGGTTGCTTTCAAGGGTGCTGGTACTCCTGTATTTTTTATTACTATAAAAAAACATAGCAATTTACTCTTAACAAATCATGATGATTGATGAAATCACTTGGAAAGATCAAAGATTGCCAACAAGCATCCTATCACTAGGTGGAGTTTGAATACATGGATAAAGTGATTCTATTCTGCTATGCTACTTAAAGATGGCCACCGAAGAATATTATTCATTGAAAACAATTCAATATCAGAAAGGTGAGTGTGTTTCTTTTCTTCTCTCTCAATGAGCCAACAATTAAAGTATAACTCATTAACATTCAAAAGAGCCTATCAAAATATCAAAATATCATATACGGTATACAGTCTTTTTACATTATTATTCGGTCACAAATCACCATGTAAGGTAAATTTGACTTTGATAAAGTAAAACTTATTAACATTCAAACGAGTGAATCAGTATATAACATGAGAAAGAGACTTATACTATTAGAGAAAATAACATATGCATTGACGGTATATAAAGTTTTTTAAAACTGTCATCCAGTCACAAATCATTATGTATGGTAAGTTTGTTGATTTTGATGATAACTATTTAAAAATCATACCAATAATGATTTCTAATTGATGGACAGTGTAAAAACTTTTAATGCATACCCATTAAACTTATAATATTAACAATATTAGAGCACTGCAGCAACATTGTTTCAATCTTCCTCTAGAGAAGAAGCATTCCAAAAGCTTAATTACTTCTATCACCTTGGTTTGCCAAATGTGCAAAACAGATTTTCAGCCTTCATACTTGTGCAACACATTGACTTAATTTCTTAGCCTCTCTTTGCACAAATTCAACTATTAATTTGTTAGTAAAATCTGGTCTTTCCAGATGAGGAAGATGTCCACAACTGGGTATTTGGCGTATAATTGCATCAGGTAATTCACAGTGTAGTTGCTGCAAGAGTAGAAGTTCAAAACTCAACTTCAGTTATAGCATTAGCACGGAATATTGTTCCCTAGCAGTCCAATAAAGTGAAACAAAGTGAGAGAATTATGCTTTCTGATAATGACTTTCCAGCATGTCAAATAAGTCTTTATAGGTTTCTAGCTAATCATATTGTATACAAAATAGTGCCACAAGGTAACTAACCACAGCAAATTTATTGCTGATGATGCGGTCATTTTCACCCCATATTATCAGTGTTTTCTGTTTTACCTGTTAAACAAATTCAAAACATCTTATTGAGAAGGAAATCAAGCTTCTGGAAATAAAAAAGGAATCTAAGGGGTGCCTTGGCCTAAATATGACTCAAATATAGACTAGAAACAATATAAGGCAAATAAGGAAATGAAACTATACTCGAGACAAATGGATTTTAATAGTTGTGCATACATGTAGTTGGATCCACATATCCAATGGTTAAATCTTGGCAGAAACAGCTATGTTTAAATCTGGTTTGGCATGAGTGCAACTTTAATAAAAAATTTAGTATCATGCAACCAAATTTCAAAGGTCATCAAAACAATGAAGACAACCTTTCCAAACAATAAGTAGATGTAGCATTTACATCCAACAAAGCTCAAATAATATTGACAATAAATAAATTTGCCTTGTTCTCCATCTATTAATTATTTCTTCTAAAATTTACTGAAAAAACTATGATTGTAAAATTTATCATAAGCATTTTCCTTAAAATATATAAAGAATTTTAAGTAAAAAATTGAAATTATGGTTATGTGGCTTAGCACCATCCTTAATAAGCATTTTGATTTCATCAAGAACAAATGCCAAAAAGAAAAATCAACTCATCTAGGAGATTAAAGAATTAATTACAGTACAAATTGAAGGCATAATATGACTTATGCTCATGAGTTATTATTACATACAAATACAGCTGTTGCTCTTCTGCAAAGTATCCAACAACAAGTGAGCAACAGCCAATCAGCACATGACTTAATAGACAACTAAAAATTAAGAGTGACCCTATAGCAGGTCAGTATAAAAGGCTATAACAATCATCAATGTATCTCATGGAAATATAAGGAGGTGTGAAGAGGATTCACATTTCAAAGTATTCATCTGTTTTTAAAGTATTTCTCTAGTTCAAATGGCAAATGCCATGAGATAACATATAACAAATGCAGCAATCATCAACAACTTGAAAAGCTTCATATACCTTTCCTATCAAAGAAGTAACATTGTAACCACCACTTGTCATAAAATCCACAGTAGCATCATCCCACCAAGGCATTAAACAATGTAAGCGGCCCACCTATACAGACGATATGAAGACTGTTAGCACCCTTCCTCATGACAGGCATGAGATGCATAGACAAGATATGCTCCTAAATGGCTGTATGCCTATAAATGACTATTGAGACGCCAAACATGTAATTCGTGTGAGATATTTCCAAAACATGAAAACACGTTTCATTTGATTTAATTTATCCAAATTGAAGAGTTATCTTGCTTCATTCAATTAGAAGAGTTGTCCCATTTCAATCCAATGGTTACAAATACAATGCTTCATACAACTTAGTTATAAACATCATTTGAATCTAGGAACATGTTCCTATGGTAATAGACATCAAGTGGAACCATGTGACTAATGGAAATAAGAACACGACTATTCATGGAAATAAGATCATCAACTAAAATGATGTGACTATTCATGAAAGACATGAGATTAGAATAAAGTGACACTACATGAAAGATGTAAATTGGAATGATGTGACTATTTAATTGAATTGATGTGACTCTTCATGAATAGACAAACCGTGCCTACGAAAAAAAATACTCCATATACAAGACTCACTCCATTCATTTAATACACTCATAAATTCATTTACTTTTACCCTTTGAGCGCACAAAAGAACAAAAACAGAATTACCATTTTGTAGACAACATTGTTGTGTTTTAGCTTGAATTTTGAGAATCTAAATCATACTCAAGGGTCTTCATTATATCAAAGGAAATTTGTCATCAACCTAAGCTGTACCTAAGGTTTTGAATTATCTCTTTTTCTTCTAGACGTTAAAGATTTGTTCTTATCAACAATTCCTGTCTAAAGGTATTGTTACAATTGTTTTTCTTGGGTTCTTGTGCATAAGGATAACACAATAGATGTGAAATCTTCAGCTGTTACAATTGTTAGAATTTTCAACAATCCTACAACCAACCTAGTAAAAAGTGCTTGACCGTGTGATGCGGAGTTATGTAAAACAGTAATTCTAGAACCAGGCAACTCACATTAGTCCAATCAAGGCTGGTGCTGAAGGAAATGTTTTTGAAGGTCAACTGGGTGGCATACAAGCGTAATGGAAAGCTCTTCAAAAAATTAACCTGATCCAAGAAAAATGCCAGTGGTGAGTTGTAACTTTCAAAATTAAAGTTCTCAACATCCTCATCTTCTCTTTCTTTTTTCTCCCATAACTGTAGTAGAAGATTCCAAATCCAATGAAGGTCAATTTGCTATATTTATTGGCTTATGAAGTGGAAGGAATAATAACACCAACTGATGTAAACCAAAAGAAAATAAAAAGAAATATTCCATTTCCAAAAGTTAAATGTCATATTAAGAAATTTTATACTTACATGTATCATAAAGACCCAAAATAACCAGCAGAAAAATTCCATTGACTATACTTAAGTGGGGTGATGAATATTTTGAAATAATTTTCTACATAATTGAATATACATATGAACTTATTCAGCAAGGGAAACATTGGATAGAGAGAGATGGGATATGGTGTAATTTTCTTGATAAATGCCAGTAACAATACAGTAAGTTGCAGAGATATTCACCCCGGCATAGGCTACCGCTGCAGGTAAGGTTGCTAGCTTGCCAGTTCCCTTTGCATATACACTAGCACCAATCAGAACAAGCTTCTCCACCTGAAAAGATGAACTGCAAATAAATGACCACACCACACCATAGTCATTTGATGAAGAAATTTTTCGCAAACTGGGTCATGGTGCACATTTAGAAGTTAAATTATTGGACGGCACATACAGCTTCTGGATAATTGACTGCAAAGTCAATGGCAACAGCAGAGCCAAGGCTTGGTCCAACCAATATCATTGGCTTTCTGATGTAGGACTTCCAAAACTGTTATAGATAAATCTAGTTCAGCCTCAACATAGTGTGCAACAATTGGAAGGAAATCAAAACAAACGTGGAAACAAACTAAATAACTATTGAAGACATCCATTTCTTTAGAACATAGTTGATGAACAAGTCAGAGCCTGTAATTTAACTGATCTGTTACTCCAATTCACACAGTATGATAATTAAGGGAAACAATTTACTCAGTGAAGTAGATTCTTCAGAATTATCTACTGTTGGAAAGTTGTATATTACATAACTCAATTCCTAGGGTGCAACTTATATCAGGAAACTTCACTTATGCTATGTTTTGGTGGTGAGGATAGAAGTGGGAGTGTTAAATTATGATGCAAATTCTAGAAAAGAAAAAGAAAATTCTAGAAAACATAAGAAAAGATGTATAAGTCTCTAGAAAAAACTAAAAGAGTGTAGAGACTTTAAGAGTCTAGAAAATTCTAGATATTTCCACCATCATCTAGAAATGGAGCACCATGCCTATAAATAGGCAAATTGGGACTTCATTGTAACAACAACAACAATTACTACTACTACTACTACTCTTTAAATTTAAATAAGTTCCTATTATTCCACCAACTATTCCCTTGACAACTATTAAATACTAACAGGGAGGAATAGGTGAGAAAAGAAGAGAAGAGAAGTAAGAAATAGAGCAGAAATTGAGGTTGTTTGGTTGGAGAGAAGTAGAAGGGAATTGAAGAGAAGATTAATTTTTTTTATTAGATTATATTTGATTAAATATAAAAGGTAAAATGATGTAATAAATTAATTTACATACATGCCTTTACTATTAAGTTTATTATTTCAATAGTTTTTAATTAAATAGGTCCATATAATCTATTATATGGACCTCTAGAGAGTACTAAAATGCATAAATGCATTTGAGAGTCAACATAATCAATTATGCTTACTACATAATCAATTATATGGACATAGAAAGTCACTATAACTTAAAATTTCACATTCATAATCGATTATGTAATTGTCATAATTGATTATTGTTGTCAATAATGGCATCACAAACCATCAATCTTATGTCTACAAGGATACAAAAAGTAAAAATTCACTCTTCTCTTCTAATCCACTTATTTCAGCATGTATTAAAAAAGTTGTGAAACCCACCAATTTCATAATCTCCCTTCTCTTCTAATCACCTACACCAAACAAAAGATCCCTTCTCTTCCACACTCTTCCTCACCCTTCCTTCTCCCTTCTTCACTATTCATCTATACCAGGGCCAGCCTTGAGGGTTGGAAAAAAGAGCAACTGCCCTGGGCCCATCATGTGGCAAGGGCCCAAAAGAAAAATACAGCCCTAATTTTTTTATAAAAAAATAATTCTTTAATATTAGTTTTTTAGTTTTTCTTCTCTTATTCAATTTTTAATTAATTAATCACAAATTCCAAATTTTTAAAGGATTAAACATTTAATTTTTACTAAAATATTAAAGAAACTTTCATCATTTTCTAAATTTGTGGTAACAAATATAAATTCTTTTAATATTAAAGACATAAAACTTAAAAGAGAATTACACTTTTTTACATACCAAATTATAAGGGGTCCTTATGATAAATTTTGTGTTTTGTTTTGTTAGTGATGGATAGCACGACAATTTTAGAGAACCTAATTTGTTGATAATAGGAGACAACGTATAAGTTAATTGAAGAAAAAAAATTAATAAATTTTTAAAGATTTGTTAAAATCTTGTGTGTAAAAAAAATGTATTATTATTTTTATTGAAATTGCATATTTATTTATTTTTTATATAATACATATTTAAATTTAAAAATATTTATATAAAGAGAGTCCTTATCTATTGTATCATCCCGAGTCTACAAAATGTCAGGACCAATTCTAATCTAAACCAAACAGACTGTTAATCTCAAATAAGTTTTAAGATAGAATCTTGTCAGAGTTTATTATCCATCTATGTGAATTGACTATTCTGATAGGCATAGCTTGTTCTAGTAGGCAACTATTGAGGGAGTGGGATGTGTTGGAAAGTTGCAAATCATTTGCCTCAATCACTAGGATGCAACTTAATATCTATTATGTAAATTAACTTTTTGTCAATTTCACTTAATAACAAATTACCAAATGGTTTTTACCATCTTTTACTTACTGTGTATCAGGTTTGATTGAAATAAAGCTTGGGGATACAACAGATACATTAATTAATACATTAGTACCTGGTAGAAGTGATCACGCTTTGATACCACATCACAGGGAGGAAGTTTTTCTGATGGAAAGAAAAAGAAAGAGAAGAAAGCATGTTAAAAGTCTAATGAACAAAGGGAGGGGAAGGTAATAACATACAATACACAAAGCAATAAAACAAACCTAAATCAGAGAAACCCCAACCCAGAATGTCAATGGCCCAGGTCTCAAAACCAAATTCCTCAAGCAATGGTAATACATATCTCCATTCTAAACATGAGCTGAATAATAATGCAGCCTGAGATTCAGGGGTAAATTGAGCATAAAATATATATAAACTAAAATTGTCTCTTGCATATTTTGTGCACCTGTCAAAACCATGTAGAAGAACAACTGGAGTTTCCTTGCTCAGCACCAGTGGCTTCACACAACTACTCATGATGGGATTTTCTGAGAACCTAACCTAATTGAGTAATATGACAATAAATCAGACATTTATAAGCTGCAAAACATAAATGTGAGATGGTCCTATGCTTTGCATTGTCTACCATCAAGGGACCATAAGGGATGACTGCAAGCAAGTGCACAATTCAAAACAACTTTTTGCGAGTGAACAAGCTTGGCAGATAAATTGCATCATGGATTGGTGGAACAAACCATAAAACTGACTTCGTTAATGGAGCAATTCTCAAGAGTTCAGTGCCCATAGAAAAAACAATCTCAAATGCATTAAATTAATAATAATAAAATCTGTGACAAAATCACACAATAAATTATGCAAGAAAAGGCACATCTCAGAAGCACAATTATTTTAAATCCCAAGTTTGGTGAAGAACTAAAGGACCCACAACAATTACTTATTGATAAAAAATAATATTCAAAGATTCAAACAACCACAAGACAATAATAATAGATCCTTCCAAATATTTGGGACCAAATGGAAAGATTCAGCCCACCCACAAACCTAACCGATTTCCACCTCTCCAAATCTATAACCCAAACAACTTTTCATTGCAATTTATTCTCAACTAAAGCGAATCCCTTGTCCAAAAAGTTGGCCCAAGCAAATAGAAGCCTTCCAAGTTTCGACACATAAAAATCCAAAACAACGAATTACACAGGTCAACTACTTTTGCTAGCAACACATATATTTAAGTTTTGGAAAAACTTTCGAATTAACATTTATAGAAACAAAAAATATTTTTTTTTTCCTTTAGCCTGTTCAAAAGTTAAGATCGGCTCTTGAAAAAGTTAATATACATCAAACCTTCAAATTAATTTATATATAAATTTTCCTAATTTTTTTTAAAAAATACTGCTATAAAGTAATAAATAAAAAATAAATTCACCTTAATTTAAATTAAATCACATCATTTGCTTAAAATTAACTATAAATTAGCCCCTTTTTATAACCATAAAAATGACATCCTGAAACTATAACCAAAACTCCTTTCCAATATTACACAAACTCATCTACCTACAGTATTATTCAACAAGTTCAAACCCCACAAAGTTCCACCTGCTCAACTAGCTCAGAGCATAAAGGATTTCCCAAGAAAAAAAGTTATCCACCAAACAAACGGGTCAGAAGAATTCGAACTCACACTCCTGTTAAAGTTTGGATTACAACCTTAACTACTTTTGTGGGTAATAAACCAGTGTTTGATACATTTTAAACTAATCCATTTCCACTAAGAAGGACCAGAATCTATCCAAACAAGAGATTAATCATTTATGCCAAACTTTCTTACTTGTGCCTCATACCATAAAAAGTCAAAGCGAGAGTAAAAGTGGAAGTGACGTGTGAGACGGCACAAGAAAGAAAAAAGTTACAGGGACTGGTAGCCTCTGAATGCGCATGGCGAGCTTGGTGGCGAAGGGGTCTTGGATGGAGTGAACTTCCCTCGGAAGAAAGGGAGGGAAAGAAGAAGGTTGGGCATGGAGGTTGGCAGTGCATCTGAGAGGCAATGCGACAGAGCCAATGGAGAGAGAGAAAAACATGTTGGCGATGATGTCGTGTCGGAGTGTGGTGTGAGACATGCAGAGGTTTATGAAGAGTGGAAGGAGGTGTGGTGGTAATGGTGGCTCCTTGCTACTTTCCTTCCTTATGCTATCTCTACATCATTCAACAGTGGCATCAGAAGAATCAAGTCCATTCCACCTACCACTACTATTCAAATATTTTTCTCTTCCCTCTATTTAATGACAACCCTTCCCATATGTGCTGCTTAATTACGAAAGCGACACACGTTACACTTCACAAACATATTCCTAATATAATAACTCTCCCTTCCTCACCACCGATTTCCATAATCGGTACCCACACATGTCTACTATGCTTATTTCACGAACTTTAAGGTTTAGCATTTAACATGATATAATTTTAAAATTAAGTGTTTATTCTTTTTTATGTATTATAATATAATTAATTTTTTAGAGTTAATTTAGGTTTAAATTTATTTTTTTAAAAATAATATCATATTTTATGTACGATTATTATTAGTTTTATCATACACTCATTATATTTATAAATATTTAGTCTTATAAATTTTATATTTAAATTTTTTTATTAAAAATTTTACATTGACTAATAATAAAATTTAAAATATTGTATATAAATAAATATTAATTCTCTATTTATAATTGATTTAAGGTTTAAATATGTTTTTAGCCTCTTAAATTTAGGATAAATCTGTTTTTGGTCCCTCAAATTGAAATTTGTTATTTTTAGTCTTTGTAATTTAAAAAAAAATCTTATTTTAGTCTTTATATTTAAATTTTGTTAAAAAATTTATTAAAGTTTATTGCATGAGAACATCACATTAAATCTAGTTGATATTGCATAACTGTCTTAATTAATTACTTCCAGTTATTTGTGATCTGGGAGACTAAAATAATATTTTTAAAAATTACAAGAACTAAAATCAATAACTTTAAATTTAAAAGAAAAAAATAAATTTATTTTAAATTTGAGAGATTAAAAATATATTTAAACCTTAATTTAATAAGATTCGGTTTGGCTCAAATTTACTTTCTTTAAAATTTTACTATCATTTATTGAGATGACATCTTTAACAGAATATTTGATTTTTGTTAGTGTTCATGAACAAGATTTTATTGAATGAGAAAAAAAGAAATTAATTTGATATTTTTTATATCTTAAAAACAATTAGTTTTCAATTTTTAGTAGGTGGTGCAAAAACAAGTAAAAAGTAAGAAAAATAGAGAAAACAAAAAATAAATTTGTTTAATAAATCAACGTACGAATATCTAATACTACCATTTATAGTACGAGATATTTTCTTGTCATTTTTGGTTCTGTAACAGAAAAATATCCATTCGTAATGTATGTTTAATGAAGTCAGACGATCTCGTCCTTTTTTTAGTAACACCATGTGCCCGTGTCAGAGAAAAAAAATATAAGAAAATAATATATAATAATAATAATAATAAGGTTAAAAACCTCTTTTGGTCCTGATAATATTTTTTTTTGTTTTAATTTAGTTCTACTTTAATTTTAGGTCTTAATTTAGTCTTCAATAATTTAAATCATTACAATTTGGGACTTCTGTCCAAATGATGTAAACGGGATTAACTCCTGCTGACGTGGATGTCAGGTAGATGCCACGTAGATGCACAGGTGGATGCCAAATGTCATGAATACACCTGGAACCAGAACGGTCCGTTCTGCATGCACATGTTATGTGTTAAGTTTGCAACTGGGACGGGTCGTTCCAAATGCAAATTTAACACAACATGAGTGCAGCAGAATGGGCCGTTCTACTGTTAGAACGGACCATTCTGAACCAGAACGCCAACTCATGCTTTTTATTGTATTTTCTTTTTTATTATATCTATATTAATAAAAATATAATAAATAAAAAATACAACAAATTAATATTCATTTATGAATAAAACTAAAAAAAAAGAAAAAAATCAAATAAGATAAGACCTTCCAAAATCCTTCTTTGATTTGAACTTATCCAGTTCAAAATCTTGACTAAAATGCCGCAATGTGATTCAAAAATTGAAAATAAAAATTCATAATATATCATAAATTCAAAGACAGAAATATGATTCAGAAACTGAAAACAAAAATTCAGAACATAACATATACTAAAAAAGTTCAAAGAAATTATTGAGAAAGGAAATCATCTGGGTAACGCTGAAGGGAAACCCTAAACCACAAAAATTCAGGTTTTACCTCCTCAAGAACAGGTTGTTATTGTTGGGGTACATCGTCAATGACTTCAAGGGAAAACACCATTTCATTTCATCATTGACTGTATAGTGTCAATTTGGTAGTAAGTGGTTCACTCTAGTTTGACTAACAATGAAATAAAACTTGTTACCATTGTCCTTAGTGATACACTGCATCGTCCTTAATGATACATTGTATAGCCTAAATATTTAGCAATTGAAGTTATCAATCCCCATTAACAATATTACCAAATCTAGTGTGTGAAATGCTTTGTACTTTGGTTTTTTCTGCACGAAATTCTGGAACCAGAATGGCCCGTTCTGAAACCAGAACGATCGGTTCTGGTTACACTGTTGGTATGTTAATTTTGCATCTGGAACGGCCCGTTCCAGGTACAAAATTTACACACCAATAGTGTAACTAGAACGGGCCGTTCTGGTTTCAGAACGAGCCGTTCTGGTTCCAGGTGTATTCAAGTATTTTGAAATCCACCTACGTGGCATCCACCTGGCATCCACGTGGCCACCAGTTAACTCCGTTTAAATCATTTAGATGAAAGTCCCAAATTGCAATGATTTAAATTATTGAGGACCAAATTGAGACCTAAAATTAAAGTGAGACTAAATTGAAACAAAAAAATATTATAAGGGACTAAAAGAGGTCTTTAACCTAATAATAATAATAATACTAATAATAATAATAATAATAATAATGACGATAGTCTTATTTAATATTTACATGTTTTAGATAATTTTATTTTTAAAATTTTAAATTAGAAAAATAATATTTAAGATTAATTATTCTTACAAATTTAAGACTTGAATTCAAAATTTAAAAATTAAAAAAATATACACAACATCATTCAATAATTATTTATAAATTTTAAATATTTTTATTAAATAAAATTAAAATTATTGAGTGTCTCATTATTGTTCACATTTTAAACAATCTTATCCATACAACATTTTAAAGATTACAAATTTTTTATTTTTTAAAAATATTTTTAATAACCATCTACTATTATATAATTATTATTAATATTTGAAAATAATTTTCAAAAATATAAAGTGTTTTTGTATACTAATAATATTAATTCCCGTAACTAATTATATCATCCTTTTTCTTTTCTCACTCTTAAAAATTATATATATGATAAGTCATCTCTAATCTCTAAAACTAATAAATTATAAAATATATGTGAAAATACAAATTTATAATTATATTAATCTATTTTTTAAAAATAAATGAGTAATTAAAGTATTAATATATTTTTTGACATTAAAATGATAATAAATAATCAAATTCATAAATAAATAATAGTTAATTAGGAATAAATATCATGCTAGTTTTATATCCATAGGCATGAAATATTGTTATGATGTTTTGTACATAAAGTTTATAAATTATATGCATGTCATGTACCTTTATTCATAGGAAGGTTAGAATTTATTTGTTAAATTTTATTTGTAGCATTGATATATAATTTTTATATTGCAGTTGTACTTAATAATTTGTTTGAGTTTAGAGTTCCAATGTTAATTGGTGGTAATTATGTCGATTAGAAAGAATGTATTATTTTGACTTTAAGGTGTATGAAATTAGATTCGGCACTTCATTCGGATGAACAACTTATCCTTATAGAAGATAGTGCTCAAGAAGAAAAGGCTAACTGTGAGCGATTGGAGCGATCAAGTTGCTTAAACTTGATGCTCATAAAGCCCATATAAGTAAAAGCATAAGAGGATCCATTCCCAATTTTGATAAAGTTAAGGCTTATATGAAGGCTATTCAGGAACAATTTGTTAGCTTTGATAAGTCCATGGCTAGCACACTAATGAAGAAACTTTCAAGCATGAAGTATGATAAAAGTAAAGGTGTGCGTGAACATATCATGGAAATAAGGGATATTGCTGCTAAACTAAAGTCCCTAGAAATTAAATTTTTTGAATCATTTATTGTTCATG